TAAGTATAGATCTGGACCTAGGGTCTGGACATCATTTGGATTTATTTTATCATATTAAATTAACAATTGGAATAATAATATTTCTATTACTACTCATCCATTTCTAGATTTGTACTTAATCCGTTGTACTTGAATATCATAGCCTATTGGCGTACAATATTTTCTCAATAAATAGCTAATTAAATCTTTCGATAATAATTAACTAAATAAGGCAAGAACAATAGATTAACCATTCCAATATTAACTTAACATAAAAAAATAAACAACCAAACTAGTCCGGACCCAGAGATCCGGACCCTAACTCATACTATGCAAACATGAATTAAAACAACATTTTATTAAATAAAGAAAACTTACAACCTCCGTAAAGCGGAACGGAACATATCTGGAGTTAAAACCTCCGAAAATACTTCAAACTAACTACTAAAACTAATATACAAAGTATTTGAAGCAATTGAGAGAGGGGAACCCGAAATTGGGTTGAGAATGGATGATAAAAATGAGAAGAATCGTGCTGTATTTATAGGAACGAAGCCAAGGCGTCCAAGTCAAAGCGTCCAAGTCCAAGCGTCCAGATCTGGACGCCTGAGCTGTCCCGGCCAACCAGATTTTGCCACGTGTCATTCTTGGGCTGCAATTAAGCCAAAGCGTCCAACTCCCAAGCGTCCAACTTGGCCAAGCGTCCAAGTTGGACGCCTTGAGGCCTTGGTCCGTTGGGCTTCGCGGCTGTTTCGTGATTTTGGCCCAATTTCGCTCCGTTTTGGCCCCGAACACTGTTTTTGACCTCCCGGAAGCTCGTTCAAGCCCGAATCTTGATCCTTTGATGATTTATTCCCTTTTTCTCAAGTATTTGAACATAAATGGATGATTTAAAATGATTTCACGTGGAATCCCATTTTATGACTCTTAGAACGAAAATGAGAGTTTTATCCATTAAAATCACATTTTATGAGATGATTAAATACTATTTACGTGCAATAACGTTTAGAATATGATGTAAATGATAAGAACGAAACGGACTTATCATGTTTCCACATAGTTCTTTGATTCGCCTTAGGTTGTTGCGTCTTTCCTCTGATTGAGCATCATTTGAGAAGTGGTCAACAACTGTACCTATAAATTCTGTTCCATCCAGTCCTGAGCTGGATAGATGCTGTGTTGAGTTTTCCGGATTTCTTTGTTGTGCTTCAAGGATTAGATTTGTCATGCTCAGATGAGAAGGAATATAAGATGCTTCTCCTTCTTTGACTGCAATAGGGAGCTGTGGTATTGAAGATGGATTGTGTTGTTGGAGAATCACTTCCATCTTGCGGTTTCCAGAATTAGCGCCAATAAGTCTGAACAGCTTGTGTGCTTCCTTTTGATTGTCAATGATCACCTTCAAGTAGTCTTTGGTCACTACCTGATTTGCAGAAGCTACTGCTAGGGCTGATCTGATGTCCATTTGGAGAAGAGACATCTGTTTTTGTAGACTAACTGTGACACTTGCTATTTGCTCCTTGACGTTGTTGATCTCTTTGAGTTGAAGTTGATTGTCAGAGGCATATATTTCCATCGTGTTGCTCACAGTTTCACTCAATAGAGAGATAATCTCCAGAGTCTTGTGCACTGATTTGCTTATTTCTTTGAGATCTGCGCTGTGTTTTCCTTCAGATTTCTCTATGAGCTGGGTGTACCTGACTTCCATTTGCTCTATCTCTTGCCTAAAGGAGGCACGTTGAGATGCTAGGGCTGATTCAATCAGCCCTTGGACCTTCTTTGTCCAGATTTCCGGTACAATATCCGGAAGGGTAGGGGTGGAAGAGCTATGGAAATGAAAATTGGTTACCTGATGAGAGGATGGTGTTCTTTGGAAGAGTTGCATAGGAAGAGATTCAGCATCTTCTTGCACATCTTCTTCATCAGTAACCTTCAGTGTTCTTTCAGACTCTCCTTCTGGTTCATCAAGCGCAAAATTTGATATATCCCTAGAGAGGGAGTCTCTTTCTTCAGCTGCATTCTGTTCTTCAAAAATGGCTACTGGAGTTTGAGAGACCTCTAGTTCTGCCATTTGAGTTTCCTTTTCAGCTTCTCCAGAATTCCTTTGCGCTTCAACAGCTTGCTCCATTGTTTCTTGAAGAGCTGACTGTTCTAGAATTTCTGCTAACTTCTCCGGGATCTCAATTTCAGTAGGATTGGAGATCTCACATGCAGTTGTGAGAATCTCAAGAACTTGAGATTGACCCAGTTGCTGAAATTCTTCTTCTTCTTCTGTTTTGTGGTTCTGTTCTAGTGGGGGAGAGGTTGCCTTCTCTTGGACAGCTTCAGCCAGAACTATTTTAGAAGCATGTGAGGTTTCCTGAAGAGCAGGTGAGGTTTCCGTTTCAAAGGCAGGTGAGGTTTCCGGAAATGTTTGGAAATCCTCAGCTGTTGCTTCCAAGTCACCTTGTGCTTCAGAAGTGAAAACCACTTGATCTTCTGTGTCTTTTAAGAAGACTGACTTGAAGACTGCAGGATCTTCATCATCTGCTTCAAAGTCTGAAACTGGTGTGTTGGCGAGGTATTCCAGATGCAAGTCTTCAGGGTTCCTTTGCCATACCCAGTAGTCATCCAAAATTTGTTCACAGTTGTGGTTGACTGGTATTCCTAAGCACTTCTTGATGATCTTCTCATTCTTCAGTTGTTGGTCCCAATTCAACAGTTGCTCTGCTGAATTTCCAACTTTCCAGGCTTTCCAAATATAGTAGAGCTGCCAGAATTGGTTATCTGCATCATCTATTTGAGGTTGAGGTGATGAGGTTGGAAGGCTTTGGACTTAAGGAATTTCTTCTTCAAGTTGTTGAGGGCTCCGGTTTTGAGCAGAGGTTTCCTCAGCAGGTTCCTTCTCCTTCAACTCATCCGGATTGACATTTCCAGATGTTGATGGAGAGTTGATCTTCCTCTTCTTCTTCCTTTGAAGTTCTCCATGGTCAGAGACTTCTTCTTCCTCTTCCAAACAGATCAAAGCAAGGTTCTGTGGTGTTTCAACACTTGGAGAGGGAGACACCACATGCTTTCTCTTGGCAGTCTTTGCGAAAATGATGAGTGGAACATTGTCCAATGCTTTCCCTTTAACTGCAGCGCCCATAGATTCCAAAACATGTCCAATATACAGACCTTGACAGAGATACTTCTGATTGTGCTTTCCTAGATGTTTTGAAATGGATTTAAAGAAGTGTGCAGCCCAGTTTACCTTAATTTGGGTAATTAGAGCGTTGATGATGAAGGCTCTCTCCTGGGTGATGTCATCGCCATGACCTCCACTTCCACATTCGAGACAGGCGATGACCAGTTCCAAAACCAACTTTTAATCGTTGTTTAGATCTGCTTTCTTCGCCGGGCCAGAAGGAGTTTGCCCAGAGATTCCAATGATGTTCCAGTCCAGATTTTTGACTGGAAATTTCCCAATTTCAACTCCAGAATTGGGAAGGCGAAGTTTTTCTCCCAATTTCTTTTGCGAAAGCTTCACTTTTGTACCTCCAATAGTGGACTTGATGACTGGAAACGTCCTCTATGGGTTCTTCTTTGAATGAGCAGTTTTGACCTCTCCATTTCTGTAGAATTCAAGAACTTCTTCCTCAAATTTGAGGCGAATCTCCATTTGAAGAAATTCGGAGAGTTCTTGAGCGGCTATCATTTCCAGATAGCTTTGAAAGAATGTCGGTGATGAGCACTTGGCTTCTAACTTCTGGAAGTGGACATTTGCACCGACAACCTTCATTTTCTTAGAAATTTGAGTGAGAATTTGAGAGAGAAAGGCCTAGGGTTCTTGAGAGTTTTTCACGAAGAAGACGACGAAAAATTTTGAATGGGCGGTTTAGATCTGAATAGTGGCGATTGGGTTTTATTTGAGCGATTTATGCGGCTAGTGGCGATTGGATTTTTGACTATTCCCAAGGCCACGTGCCTACCCAATATTTTGACAGACGTGGAAGGTGAACTGCCACGTGTACCGCACTCAGTCTAATTGAATTAGACCAATTTTGTGAAGCAAATCGGAAAACTTGGCTTCACTTAGTGGTTTTGTGAAGATATCCGCCAGTTGTTCTTCAGTTGAGATATACTCAATCTTGATATCTTTCTTTTCCACATGATCTCTGATGAAGTGATGCTTGACATCAATATGCTTAGTGCGAGAATGATGCACTGGGTTTTGAGAGATGGCTATGGCACTTTGATTGTCACAAAAGATTGTCACTTCCTTTGTCTTAACTCCATAGTCCAGTAATTGTTGCTTTAGCCACAAAATCTGAGCACAACAACTACCAGCAGCAATGTATTCTGCTTCTGTTGTTGATGTAGAGATGGAGTTTTGCTTCTTACTGAACCAAGAAACAAGATTTCCACCAATGAATTGACAAGTACCAGATGTACTTTTTTGGTCAACTTTGCATCCGGCAAAGTCAGAATCTGAGTATCCCACTAACTCAAATGAATTGCTCTTAGCATACCACAAACCCATGTTCTGAGTTCCTTTGAGGTATCTAAGAATTCTTTTAGCTGCTATCAGATGACTTTCCTTTGGCTTTGACTGGAATCTGGCACAAACACCTACTGCATATGAGATATCTGGACGGCTTGCAGTAAGGTAAAGTAGAGATCCGACAATTCCTCTGTAGAGAGTTTGATCTATATCCTTTCCATCTACATCCATATCAAGCTTGGTGGATGTACTCATGGGGACAGATTCGAATGACTTCTGATCAACTTTGAACTTCTTGATAAGATCCCTTGTATACTTGGCTTGATTGATGAGAGTGCCTTCACTTCTCTGTTTGATTTGAAGGCCAAGGAAGTAGTTGAGTTCCCCCATCATGCTCATCTCAAATTTTCCTTGCATGAGGGTTGAGAACTTGGTGCAGAGATTTTCCTTAGTTGAGCCAAATATGATGTCGTCCACATAGATTTGGACTAATAGGAGATCTTCTCCTTCTTGTAGTTTGAACAATGTCTTGTCAATGACTCCTTTGGTAAATCCATTGTCTATAAGAAATTGAGACAATGTATCATACCAAGCTCTTGGTGCTTGTTTGAGTCCATATAGCGCCTTTTTGAGTCTATACACTTGATCTCCCTTAGTGTGTA